GTCTCTATTCTCCAGTTAACAATTAACCGATTAGATTTTAGATTAAATTAGTTGACAATTACTTCGATAACTGATTAATCCGATTAATTATTTCAACCCTAGTTCATATCACCACCAGATGTCTCTTTCAAAAAGTGAAATTTATACAGATACATGACACTAAAAGTATAATATACCTACATAAAGCCTTTACTTTAGTTCATTTGAATTGTTATGGCTTACAGCTAATACGAATTAAAACATTATTTAAATTAGTAAGGATAAGAAAAAGATTTTAAAAATTATGCAGGGCTTCTTTATTGCATCAGCACAATGTGGCATAGAGGGAAACGCCTATGAGTCTGCTGAGGAGCTAAGTTAGAACAGCCTAGGATCCTTCAGAATCTCAGCGTTGTTCAGTCAGGTGTCTGAAAATAATCATTCTAGCCATTAAAGGGGATTTAGGTGCCATTGTCAGCGTGAGTAGGAACAAAATATTGCTGTAAAAAATATCAATGAGCTTCTTCATAAACCTACTCAGCAGGAGGAAGAAAGAAACCTCAAAACCAATAAATAAGATAGCTGTGCTGACTTTGGACTTGATGAAACACAGCAAAGAACACCAACAAATAATTTGGCTACTTAAATAAGCAGCAATTTTTGAAACTTCATTTTGGAGCTCTTGATATCTTCATCACTCTTTGACCTTGATTCCAAAATGAATATTAAATTTTACTTTTATTTGAAAAATACATTTCTGATATTCTGTCCAGCTAGAAAGTGTTTTTCATGAGGGATCTCAGAGTTGATTAATGTCCAAGACACATCTTTGCAGGACTCTTGGTCAAGAGAGAGCCAGGATGAATTTTAGCAGTTTACCTTATTTTATAGCTGTTCTATAATCAATAGTCTGCTGTGCAAGGGCAAAGGACCCAAAACTGAAAGATGCACTGCATCTATAACACAAATATTTTAACAATATGCTATTCTAATATTTACATTTTTCTATTAAAAAAACACACTTTGAGTTCTCATTATCTTTAAGCCTTATACCTCTAACTTAATTAAATAAAGAGCTTGAAGTGAACCTCAAATAAATTTTCTTTTCAATTTAATTTAGATTGATATTTTCGGCACCTTAAGATTCTGTCTATATTAGGTTCTAAATTAAAACATTTTCTTATCAAACAAAAAGAAAATTTGAATTTCTAACATTGTCGCGATTAGGTGCAAAAAAAATGATAAATTCCTGCTCAAAACGAGTAAAAGTTTTAGAAAACTTTATAAAACGATCTATTGAAAATATGTTTTTATAATTATAAAAAGGTTCACTCTGGGTTATAAAATACTGGCAATATGGTTTGTGTGGACATAAAAGCATGGTCACATTACTTTATATCCCTGTAAAAAATAAGAAATTACTGCAACCTTACCTATGCACTGGTATTTCCCACTGACATATTGCAGGTCAAACCCTTCATGGCACTTGCAGATGTAGCTTCCAAAGGTGTTGATGCACTTCCTGAACCTAGGGCACACGGCTATCCCTGCTGCACATTCGTCCACATCTACAGGAGGAAGAAAGAAAACCCCTGGTTATCATAAATCACAAAGTACTTAAACTAATTAACCACGTTCTTCTCCTACCACCTCTAAATCTTTCTCATATACTGTATATACTGAGAAACACTCTAACCAGGGGCTATAATAACATCATGCAATGCTAATCCTTAATATTAAAAACAGAAAATTATATCTATGCTAATCTCTTTTATTCATAGTTGCAGACGCTTCGCTTTCTCTGCTTAACATTCATTTATGAACAAAGGATTTTCTTCAGTTCACAGCACAATTCACACTGCTCTATTTCATAATTTAAGGTCCTATTTTAAGTGCTGCTGTTGCTCACCTTAGCAGAAATGTGGGCATATATATTAGAGCCTTCAAAAAGTTATTTTCAAAAATTACAGCTGAAAAGTATATTCATTTAGACCACATGAATAGAGTGAATATTGAGCACCCATCTTTGATTAATGTAAAACCATATACTGGCTACACGTATTTAATCTGGATATAAATAAGCAAAAACAAGCTCCATGATATGTGCACATACATACCTACTAACATTTTGTTAAATAACATTTAGTAAGCTTTAGCTTAACCACAGGGTTAATGTGTCATTTTGCAGAGATTTGGTTGAGTTAATGGCCTCGATTCAGTTTTCTAGCACGGTCTACATGTTTCACTGCAGTGGAGATTAAGGTTTTTGGTAAGAGGTTCCAAAAAATTACCTGTTTGGCGGTATAACCTCCTAAAAAGGTTCAAATTAAGTTTGGGGTCAAAATCTTGTTGAAACACATGTCCATGTAATCATCAATTGTCCTAGTTTAGGTTTTACTTTAATGTCAAATTTAAGAATTTGATTGATTAACAGCTGTGTGTGTCCTGCATTGTTAAAGGACGCTTATTTATTTATTTATTTTTTTTACAGTTTTTCAAAACTTAAATTTGAGGAGTCTTGCGTTACAAAGGAATCTAATATGAATACAAGAATACTGTTAATATGCAATGCATACATATTTTATAGTCCAACCTGATATAGTCCAAAATAAGATAAAATTGAGGGGATTAAAACCCACCTCCTCTTCTTGCAATTTATTCTGTGCTCTAAGATTTTGTCTTTTGGACATTTTTTGGTAAGGCTTACAATGTAATGCTATACCAAAAAGAGTGAGATTTCATATCAGTCATCACCTCTATCTAAGGAAAAAGATAAAACCTCAGTTAGGTATATGTGACAATAATCCTAAAATGTTTCTTTAAACCTCTGTAACACCTGTGACAAGTAACCTGTCTCCGTGTCATTCCTCCTTAATTGATGTCTGCCTGAACCGCCCAGCCGTTATATAACCTGCAGTTAAAAACAGTGTTGAAAGGAACACTGGTGCAGCCTACACATTAATGCTGACACAGGTTAACTGCTTTAACCTCCCAGCACACTCTTCACACCTCGTATCTGCTAGGTTACTTATCTAAAAAGCAGCATCAAGGGATTCCCTTAAAGCAGAGGTAACCAATTAAAAAATCATCGGGGTCCCAGTAAAGAAAACTATCAACCAGTAAAGGTCCGGAGACATTTTCAATTCTAATCCGTTACTTTAAACAGAATTTAACACTGAAATAAAATTATTTTTTTGTTATGCATCCATGTTATACATTGACTTTTTAAATAGAAAAAATATTGTGCAAAAATGGGCCATTTTCCCATTTTAAAATCTAATGTGTTTTTTGAAGTAGAGAACAGAAAATGTTCAGTTTGGTATATAGACAATTTCTTGATTCACATATTTTATAAAACACCTGAACCTTGTTTTTTTCCCCTTCTTTTTTATGGCTTAATGAGAGCAGTTGGCTTTATGCTGCCCTGCAAGGCTTTAAACCTGGGTCTGATTGGTGACAAAGCCATTCTCAAGCACATATCAAAGTGCCCATTTGTGAGACTGAATTGATATTTATTTTTTAATACGTTCATGGTGGAGAACCCTGCTTCATAGCAGGAGGTTCAGCCAAACATACTCAAAATGTGCAGGGTCATCTCTGAGCATGCCATTGCACTTTTCTTTCACCAGTTCACCGCGCCTCTTCCAGCAGTCTACACTTTCTTTCACATTTTCGCATCATTGTTACCCATCGCCCGGCTTGCTACAGGTTTGCCTGCTGTGTCTAAAAGCAGCTAGCGGCAACAGCCCTGACTGATACAGCTCATTGGCTAATAGAGGTGTAAATAATAATCGTTTTGTATGGATGCATCGATCCAACAGCCGATGATCCGATGCATCGACACGTCCGCAAGAGTATCGATTCATGTTTTTTTTTCCTCCGTTCTATTTTTATCCATTTGCTCCTGGGCGTAATTCTCCCTCCCGTGCTGCGGTGGCGCTAAACCTACCTCACTTCCTGGTTATACTCTTATAGCAGTAGTGTTGCAGTAAGCTTGACACAGACATTTTTGATTTATGCTCAATATTGAAGCGTGGTCTGTGCTACACACTGTGGGTCTAGATACGGCCGAGGCGGTGAGGAAGTGTGGGCGAGTTTAGTCCGACGACGGAGGGAGATGAGGGCCATAAAGAGCGGAGATCCAGGTGGGAAAAGGGTCCCAGCGTTCTCGCGCACCTCGCTCTTCTAGCGGGTCAAACTTCACGAGTTGCTTTCTACAATTTCGGTCATAAAAACAAAACAAGCCGGCCTCCTGTCTGCGGCACTGTCTGCCGTCAGCTACAATTTGGGAGAGGTGCAGCGGAGCGTCTGTGGAGGGGGCGGTGACGTCTAGAGCCGAGGTATTGAATTGTACTTATTGCACTGATTTTGTGCAGTATTTTTTAAAGCAAGGCCTTTCAGAATCTATAACGTAGGGGTGTTATTATTTTTCAGTGAATGAGGTTTTAATAGGAATAGGCGGAGTGTAACTTTTCTACTTCTGTTATTTTCTGTTGTTTCTAAAAAAAAAAAAGCATAACGATATTACAGCTTTCATTGATTTATTTCAAATTTGAAACATTGTCTAGCCTGTAAGGTGTAAAAAAAACAAAAAAAAACAACAACAATTAATCAAATCGAATCATAACGTGGTGTATTCTTGAGTATCGAAAATAATCGAATCGTTGGGTCAGGAAATCGATATTGAATCGAATCGCCATGATTGATGTGATTTACACCCCTATTGGCTAATATGCGTCACGTGTAGTCTGGTCCCGGAGGGCTTTACCGTACAAAGAGGAAAAGCGGCGCAGGTGAAATTAGACACTGCCGTCGGACAACATTAGGGTAATTTATGAATGTTTTGAATCAGGTTGGGTCTGGATTAGCTAGCAGGTGGGTCCGCCTCTGTGCTGCGGTTCGCTAATCTGTGACCTCTACCTTAAAGAATGGAGGACAAGTCTATTTCTGCTGTAAAACCTAAAATAATTTAAGAGGAAAGTCTCTAGGATCAAGGGCTGTGCTAAATTCATGGTATCTTTAAGAACAGGAATGACAGTTCATTGAATAATACTTAAAATATGAGCAAGTTAGTTATCAGAATTTGGCAGAATTAATTCAGAAGCTATTTTTGAGGTCTGCTAATAAAAAGTCAAATTAGTTAGACAGTGTCCCTATATGATATTGAAGTTAAGATGATAGAAGTCCACTTTGGTTTTGGGCTATCTTGGGATGGCCAACTACATTATCTGGGTTTATATTGAGTAAGGATAGACTAATACAATCAGCTAGACCAGCGGTCCCCAACCACCGGGCCGTGGACCGGTACCGGTCCTTTGGTCATTTGGTACCGGGCCGCACAGAAAAAAGTATATTTATACATATATAATTTATCGACGATCAAAGTCTGAGTGATGTTTTATCTTGAAAAATATAAAAAAAATTGCGGTATTCTCTCCCAATTACATCAGTCGGTGCATCTGTGCCTCTTGACACAGGTTAAGTCTCATCCTATCTATAACATCCTATCTTTATGAAGCGGGATTTTCTGCGGTTACAGCGATCAAAACAAAGCTACGAAGCAGACTGGACATCAGGAGCACACTTTGTCTGTCATTTTCTCCGATTACGCCTAGATGGGACCAGCTTGTTGTTCTATTTTTATATTGTTTGTATGTGATTTTATGTCAGTCGTATCATTTTTACTTGATCGTATCCCCACCCCGGCCGGTCCGTGAAAATATTGTGTGACATATAGCGGTCCGTGGTGCAAAAAAGGTTGGGGACCTCTGAGCTAGACGATACTTTAGGCCGATTGTAGTGTTTTTCATGTATCGGTATTGGCCGATACAATAAGTTCATGCGTTCTTTGATTTATTAATCTATTCAACAGCCATGTGTTGAAATCAAGTAAAGTGCATGCACTGCTGCTCCCTCCATTTACTATCCATTGTTAATGATTTGTTTGATTGTTAATAAATGTTTCATTTTGTTTAAACTAAGACCTATGTAACATTTCTTAACATTGTGCACTTTTTATAATATTAATGTAGGATAATAAAACAATATCAGTCTAATTTCTTTTGCATGTAAGATATTACCAAATTGTAATGTCTTGCGAAATTTCCTTAACAGAGTTGGTGACTATCCCTGTGATATGAATACTGACAGATTTTATATCATTTTTTATAGGGAAGGTTTGACCTTTAACCTTTACTGAGACAGCATGGAAGCCAAAAGGAACCCCCACACTTTCACATCAGCTGCTCATAGACGGGAGTGGTCACATACATCTCAGTTTTCAGACCAGAAGATATATTAAGACTTGGACTCACCCACACATGTTCTTCCATCTGGAGCCAGCTGCAAGCCTGGCGACGGACACTGACATCGGACCTCTCCTTTCAGCACCTCACAGCCGTACTGACAGTTGGCCATGGCGCAACTGCGAGTGTCTGATGATAAAAGAAGCACACCATATATTAACCCAAGCATGTGCTACAAGGGAGTTCAAAGAGGAACAGTTTATTCTGCTCCCTCATTTCCACACATATACACACACTTCCTTTATCCTCCAGCCAATTTGTTAGAGCAGTGCCACTCGTCTGCCTTTTCTGATATTTGCCAGCTTAACCCTGGGGTGCAGCCAATAGAACAACACAAGCACTGCCATTATTAGATTCTTCTGGTGTGCAGTAGCTTTGTGCTCACACCTTAGCTGAAAGCTCCCCTCCTTTATGCCCTTTGATCCTTTCTTACACTGAGAGCCCGATTATCCATCTCCACCATATCCTTATAGCAGCATATGGCCCTGTTTCCTGTTTATTCACCCCGGGGATATCAAGACCCTGCTAAATAATAATATGATGCAGCAGAAAAGGTTCAAGCTCTCCTGATAAATTCATGTCCTAAAAAGGAAATTAAAAGCGGGGCTCATGCTGCTGCAGTGACTTTAGCTGCTTTCAGGCTCCCTGGAGTACAGTTTGATGACAGAGGCAGTCTGGGCTGATTAAATGCCACGGCGATCCATTGATCAAAGCAGCAGCAGGGGGAGTGAAGAAGAGAAGCAACGTGGTTAACACCATAACATTTCGTTACAAAAACAAAACCTAAACTAATTTCATGCAGCTCAAACTTCCCACTTAATAAAGAGAAATAATTAAGTATTTTTTCATTGAAAAGAATTTAATTTAAAAGAAGGAACATAAGTCATGTAATACTGCAGTGGGAATGAAATCAGGTGAGAAATTGCACTTACAAGAAGACATGCCCAGGCAGCGGCTCATATTAAGAGGGAAAACCTCCGGGCAGCCAATAAAAACCGTACATTCACCAGAGGGCTGGAAGACTTTCTTTTATCTTTTTCATTTTAGCACCGTAAGGGCTCTTCACAGGAGGCTTTCCAAGATAGAGCGGGCATAATATTGGAGATCAACATGGGACTATAATCCAAACAACCATTCAAAGAATTACAAGGCTGCTGTCGGGAGGAATTACAAAAGCAGAAGAATTAATTTCTATCAGCAAGGGCAAACGGCTTTTAAAAACGAAGAAGCCCACATTAAAAATACCAAGCAGAAGTTTAAGAAGCTTTGGTCTTTCAATTATGGATTTGAGTCCCATTTTAATCAGGGTGGAATGATAATATCTTAAGACAATAATTCAGTGCACTAGTTAGACTTTTATTGTGTTTTTCCAATGTGAATATACCCCACCAATTTTAGGATATAAAAAAAAAAAAGTTTTGTAAGAATTAATAAGTGCTAAGATTATTTTTATTAAATATTTTACCACATTTATATCAGAATTCAATTGTCCAGGCATATAAAACAAAAATAAATACATTTCTGGAGTCAAGCTGTTTCTTTAATTGTTTTAACCAGAAGAAGCCCTTTGTCTCGTGACTAATAAAACTATGATTATTTGCTTAACATATTTTACAAAATAAGAGGGTTTATTTTGTGTTCTTGCATTCTAATGTTGTTATAAATTAAACTGGTTTAGAAATGAATAGAGCAACTAATATTACTCCTTTGTATAGGTCTGATTGGAATTTAAATGTAAGGAAATATGCAATTCAATTGAGTTGAACCATTTTGACAATGATCAAATATGCTTCTAGAAACCTCACAGGCAGTTACATAAAATTAGCGGCTTCTCTGCAGCTTAATAAGAGCCATTTATCAAAATAATAGTAAAGGTGTATTCATACACTCCAGCATGTACACATATTATTAAACCAATTTGCATTAGATAAAAGAATGAAATATATTTAGTTGTTGTACAGCAAGTAGTTTTTTGTTTTGTTTTTTTTGTTTCAAGAATTAAAGTCTAGTGTTTCGTTATCAGTCCACCTTGAATAACAATTGGCACAGATCAATTATTAAAAGACTAAAACAGAAGTGACAGATTGTGTAAAAGGTAAAAGAAAAATCCACAACAACATCAAGACAAACAAGGTGTGGAATAACATTTTAGTGTGTGTGAAAGACTCACTTCCACAGGTCCCATCGGGCATCAGCATGTAACCATTTAGGCAGTAGCACTTGTAGCTCCCGTATGTGTTCATGCACCTGTGTTTGCAGGGTCTAGGCTTCAACCCACACTCATTCAGGTCTGCAGAAACACAAAGAAACACAGAGACATTGTAAGTGGACTAATGAATACAAGGAAAGAACCTCCCGAACAGGGATGAAATTAGGTCAGGGGCAAAGGTGATGGGGTCAGCTATGTCAAACCTACCTCCTGCATTTATGTGGGGGTTAAGTGTCGTCTTTTTTTCTGCCTCCATATGCCCTAACGTGTGTCCTTTTGAAGTGTGGGCTATCTTGGAGGTAGTAAAGGTGTTACCATGTTCTAACAAGCCCTGAACTCTTCTCTTTGATGATTTACCAGGAAGTCACTGTCGACTGTCAGCAACCCCACCGCCTGCATTACACCTCCTGACTCACCATGACTTCACAAGGCAGAAGCTTCGACATCCAACACTCTGACAGTTAATAACACATTCACTGTAATTTGCAGACATGTGGGTCTGCAGAAGACAGTGGACCAACAGCCTGCAGAAGTCAGATGATGGAAGGATGTTGTCAGTTTTTCTCACAGGAAAAAGATGTCTGTTCCGACAGAAACAACTGTCAGCCTAATTCTAGCTTTTATATATTCTTAAGACTAGACATTTTTACTTGTCAACCACAGATGCAATTAGAGACATCAGACATGTCTGCTTTTGTGGATATGCTGTTGTGTATGTGGCGTCACTTTAATAGTTTGAAGGGATCAATAACAGTTGTGTCTTTTTGACAAGTGAACCTGTTATGAGAATAAAGGATAGTTTCCTGCATTTCCCTCTATTACAGACACCACCTAAATTTGGTTTTCTACAAAATAGAACTCTAATCTCCTGACATTTATTGCATTTAACTGAAAAACAGGGCTAGTCAGCATATTTTTTACATGTTTAAAAATACTTTCTCTTATAAACATAATCCCTCTATATTTTTATTAAACGGTCTATGAAATAAATAAGACTATTTAGAATGTCAACATTTTATACAAAGATAATTGCTGACATATATTCATTTATTCATATCCTAGAATGCAGTACAATTTTTCAGACATGAGGGTGATAGCCTGATGCTGCAGGACTGTTTTGCTGCTAGTTGTACTGATGCTTTGGACAAAGCGAATAAACGAAAGAAGGACTAGATTCAAATTCCTTAACTCCCTAAACCTAAATCAGCAGCTTGCATGTTGCAACTGGATTAATGTACAAGCACACATCGAATGTGTTTTTTGCAAGAAAGAAGAAGGCAAACATATAGGTCCTTGATAAGAGTTTGCAAAGCTCTAAATTAACTTTATTAAAATAAGAAGTGACCAATTCTGACCAACAGAACTGTGAAAAAAAACAAATTCTGCCACAAATTCTCAAAAGTTATTGATCACTCAAACATTTGTTACCTTAATGTAATTTTAAAAGAATATTGCAAATAAAAGAAAATAAATAGAAAAATAATAATCTTATAACTGGGGTTTATACTGCAATCCAACTCACTGTAAAGAATTTCTGAAGAAATAAGATATAAAAGATATAGCATTGACAACTATTTCTAAAACGCACCTTCCCATAGACTAAATCAATTATGTTAACTAATCATGTTTTCAATTGGTTTTACCAGAGGAGCATAGTAGCAGCTCTTTAATGATAGTGGTCTAGAATGGAGTATGTCTTCCCATTAACCCTATAGCCAATGTCTGCTGCATTGAACAGCAGTATTATCATTTATACTGGCCCTCATCATTCAAATGTTTGCTGTGGCTTGATATAGCTCTGTAGGTCATGGTGTGAGGCATCTAATTATTTCCCTCGCAGTGAATTAAATGTGGTGTGCTGTACGTTTGGACAGTCTGAATACAATCAATATTTCATGTAAGCATGACTTGAATCTTTCAGCACCATTAAAAAAACAGAGTAAAGAGTAGCCTGCAGGCATAGAAGTCTGATACTGGTAGAACAAGTTTTCGTTTAAAATTTTACCCTGAAGCACTTTCTAAAATTAATTTTTTCTCATGAAGGACATAGCATAACCGTTGTTGAAGGATATTGCAGAATTACGGCAGATACTGGACGGTTGAACATATTAGACCAAACCACATCAGCCTTTTTTTAATACCCCAGGACTCACTTCCTAATTTTAAAACGAAGGTGAAAGAAGTTTAAACATTTCTTCCTGCATGTTCCTCCAACAGTACAAAAAAGACATGTACTTTAGGATAACTAGACAAAGTAAATTGCAGTAAAGTTTACATGGTAGTCTACCAGATGTCTTTCTGCTACCCTGTGATGGAGTGCTGACCTCTCCAGGAGGCAAATACATGTAAATTTGGCATTACTGAAACAGTCACACTCTCAGACAGTAGAAGAACAGTGAGCATGAGCACAAGCAAAACAAGAAACAGCCAGGATGACATATATGGAGAAAAAAAAAAAAAAACAGGGCAAAGAGAGAGTGGAGAGTCGAAACAAAGCACATATAGATGGATGGAAAAACTGAGAGACAACAGGGAGACATGAACAAGAGCTTCTCTTTTAAAAGTAGCCCCAGGTGGAAAGAAACCTATACCACAGTAGAACTGGAAACTCCCTTTTGGGTGTTCACTGAATGGTAAAAGAAGTGCTGAGACACATCTGAAGCGATGCAGGGTGGATTGATTTATTGGGTCAAGCCTCACAGAGGTGTGCCATGCTGCATTCCCGACACGCCTCTACCACTGATGGAGGGATCAGCAGGAAGCTCTTTCCTGGGGAGTCATATGTCTTTACAGAAGATAAGATCAGGTAAAACAGGCCATGTTGGAGGTCCTCCGGTGAAGCCATTAGAGCTAGGACCATGCTGATACAGTGTAGATAGTCCAAAATAAACTTCACTGAACCAAAACGTTGGATAGCCAAAGCTCTTCTATTCTGAAAGTCTGTTTTAAGGGATAAGAGAGCAAAAAGAGGACTGAAATAACTGCGACATGCTCTGTGATCATGCTGGCATTTCAGCTCAATAGCAGCTCTTGGGTGGCGCTTCATCTGTCATGGAAAACAGCAAGTAGCAGGAAAACAGCAGAAAGGGACTTTTACGCCCCCTCAGGTGGCTGCACCATGCATGTTGCTGGGAGGCAGCTGAGAAACAGCTGAGAGGAGGTTTAGTCGAAGAATCTCACCCTCCGTCATTACTCCCACTGGCTGATGGTCCACTGGAAGAAAGATGGGAAGGTGGCCGCCCCACGCCGGGGGGGTTAAATAGTCCAGCGTCTCTTCTTTGTGTATAAGAAAAGAGGTTAGAGGGGGAGAGGGAAAACGTGATGGATATGGGTGTTGTACATTTTATTGACAGAAAGACTTGAAGGACAAAAGAGTAAAACAGATGCAGATCCACCTATGGATTAAAATGCCTCTGACTGCATCACGTTCTGAAATGTAAAAAGGGAATATTATTCTGAAAAGATAGTCACACAAGAAAGTTAAACATAGGAGAAACAGTACGTGTTTTAGTTTCTATTCTCCTCCAGCCTTCTACTCTCATCTGCATTTTTTTTTGTGGTAAGTGTGCAATACAATCTAAGAGGATAACTGTATCCTACAAATCCAGAATATCCATTGTCAGTGTGTGACTGGACTTTCAAAAGGAAACTTGAGTTTCCATGTAAAGAGGGAAATCAGCGGTGGACAACAAAAACACTTGAGGCTCAGGAATGACAGCCCCTCCCATATTGTTGGGCCATCGAACCATCTGTCAGTCAAGCATCGCTTCCTCTGGCAACTAACTACAGCTTTTGTTGGGTGACAGGGAGATGATACAACTCCCTTTGACTCGTTCAAGCAGTTCCCCATTGAGAGAGACGATACCCTATTAGAAGAACTTACTGTAGCAACCTTTAAGTAACACTTTTAGTGGGGTTGTTTCCCCCCCCATTTATCACTTCTCAAGCTTCTCAAGCTTGAATTTTAAATTAGTTATTTTGAATAGATCTTATTATCTACCTCTTGACCAATGACAGCAGGAGAAAGGCTCCAGTCCCTTGAAGCAATCTCAGATAAGCAGGTTTAGAAAAATTAATGGATGGATATTCATTTGAGTTTTTTCAGTTGGATCTAAGTGTCAATTCTGACTTTGTACCACATGACAGAGCTTTGATCTAAGCCATTCAACTGCTGCTTTGGCTGTATGCTAAAGGTATAGTGGAGGATGAGCTTTTTCCAGGTGGAATTATCAAAATAAGTGGTACGCCTAATTGAGGAGCGATGCAAACAGCAACTTTTAAAAAAGAGTGTTCACGAGGAGAAATGGGCTTGTTCATACTCTCGCATGCGTTGAATATGCATGCATGTGCAGAGTGGAGAGGGTGGGTCTTCTCAAAAATTTGCAAAAATCCTCCACTATACCTTTAAGGGTTATTGTACTGGTAAAATAAAAATCTCGTCTTTGATATTAAGCTTTTTCTAAACCATGATCACCCTGTATTTAACTCCTTCCCTTTCTAACTCAAAACTATATCCCAGTGAAATACACAAAAGTTGTGATTTGAAAACACATAACAGTAATACTTAAACATGTTGCTGTACATGTGTCTCTTGCTTTTCTTTATATATTTATTTATTTACTGCATTTAAGTATGGAAAAAAAAAGTTTAAACAATTTCCTTTACCGTCGATTAAATAGCTATTCTCCCGGCAGAAAGTTTTATGTTTCAGAATTGTCCAAAGATAGTGTCTGTGTATTGTGATTCTACTCACAGGTCTGCACATGAACTGTCAGCACATAAGGGGAAGATGGATGAAGAAAAATATGAGGCTCCCTCAAGTGAAAACTTTCCTCATCTAGTGCTGAAGGTTTTATAATTTAATCCAGATTCTACAGGAATAATTACTGGACCTAAATGTTACTGAAAACATGATATAATGCAAAGATAATCAGGGGATTAGAACAGTTGATGAGGGATTGCTTCTCCAGGTGCAAATAATTTTCTACTCTGGCCAACAGCATATAAACAGTAAAACACAAGACTTTGAAAGTCTTGAGCAGCACAGTCAGATTTTGCACCTCCTGTCCTGGTATCATCCCTGAAAAAACAAGAAACAGGTCATATCTTGACCTTTCTTCCAACCTAGTCTTGTTTAAATGTTTCTGCAGGGAAGAATGTGCAAAACTTCAAATGGAGAAAGATGTCAAGCAGATGGGATCATGACACCGGAGCTTTAAGGCTGCTACTTCAACCAAGTCTTATAAATTATGTAAATATTTTTAGGGTTCTACATTTTATACAACCTACCATGGCACTGTGTGTATACTAATGAGAAATAATTAAAAACACACCAAACTCAAATGTTAGCTTTTAAGCAGAGCTCTATAAAACTTCACTGAATGCTAGTAAGGCCGTTTAGCCATTTGAGGCTTGTAAGACATCTAAAAGTTGTAACAAGGAGTTAAGTTTAAGACTACTGCTTATGGTCTATCAAAAAGAGCAATGTCAAAATGTTGGCCAATTGAAATGTCATTTTTTGTATATCCAGTCAATCCTCAGTCAAGACTTATTTTGCCTGAATTATCAGCTAGTGGAAATGCAAAAGTTGTAGCTTATTTCTTCAATATTTCTGTATGTTGGCTCTTTAAACTCTGACTAGTTTTCCAAGACATGTAAATGTTCCTTAAACTTCTCAATAGCACTGTAACTAAGAACCATTTGTAACAATGTGTAACTATAGTTACTGTACTATAATAAATGTCAGCACATGGTTCTAAAATAACATAACATAATGAAAAAAATCTCAATTTATTCCTCTTCTTTCATATTGAAATTTCAAAAAATACATTGCAAGTCAGGTTTTTTCATATCAAAAATAAGATAAATAAATCACCTTGTGGATAATAAATCTACAGCATACATTACATGAACTTTACTTTTTAAACCTAATTACTGAAATAAATTTGTGTAACATTTATATTTATTGAAAGGAACCTGTAAAATATAATTATTCCCTGTGTTACTTTGATGCACATGCATAACTATAGCGAATAAAAAAACAAATCTTTAAACAAGTGGGAGACCGCATGCTGTTGTCAAAAGACCTGCAGCTGTAACCAGGGTATGGCTGGGAAGGCAAACAGTAACACAGAAGGATCAGTTCCTAAACCAACAAAGTCCTTAAAATACACAAAGCTCACAAAAATCCCAATATTAAGCCATTTTACAAAAACAAATATGGAAAACTATTTAAACATATGCACCACAGCCCTACTCTAACATGCCTGAAAAGCTATTAATCATACATCTAGCACGGTGACATGTGAAGTGAAGAACAGGATATCAGGAGACATTACTCCTCCAGCAAAATATTTTAATGGTGTGAAAATAGTAGGTCAGCTTCATCTAATTAAATCCACCTGGACGCAGTAATCATCTTAATAAAATACCGAGATCGATGGAGGATGCCTGCTGTTGAGCTGTTAAACAGATTAATTGACAAGTTTATTGGTGCAGCAGGACACAGACCTATTTCCTCACTGAATTATTTCACCGGAGCAATATTCCTCTGTGCTGGAGGGATGAAAACCATTCTTGGAAAAAAAAAAAAAAAGCTAGATTTATATTGAGCAGTGGGTATTACTGCTGACACTAGCGTAGCTAATGATTTCAGGGTGAATACAATTTCATTTACGTAAATATAATCCATTCAAAGAATTTTGATAAAAATCCCATTTAGTCTTTTAATGGTGTAAAACAAATCCCTCAGAACTTGACTAAACAGATAAATATTCAAGGTGTAGGGCTTGTTTTTGTCTCAACAGCAATAAATCCCCATGTGGTTTACTCCTGCCTGACATAAGCAAGGCTCCAGAGATGTTTGACATGCTTGTTAATCAAAAAGCCTCCAGGTAGAGGCTTCTGTCCGCACTTCCCGCTCAAGACCGCAAGAAAATGTATTAAGCAGAAAACCTTTGTGTAGCTCCAAGTTATGTACACATATTCTACTTTAGAAGATTTAATTGCTCTACTATTTCTCGACTGGAAACTTTAGTGTTTTATTTCACCAGTTATTCAAACACATGAAATGACCTTTATAGCTGAACAGCTACAAAATTGATGGATGATCTGGAGGAGGACAGAAGACTCAAATGGCTTTGTAATTATTGGCTTTCAAGAGGATCATGAAACTAAAATAATGCAACAGCTTAAGATCTGTAAAAAAATCTTTGCATTTATCCCCATGTCATTATTAATAACATGCTGCCTCTAAAGGAAGGCAAATGGCTAAGGAGACACTGTGTATCCTCTAGTATGGTAAAGTACAGGTATACTACAGAGGTCGCTAATGTAAGTGTACTCCAAGCTGGTCACATAATTTAATGCCTTCCCACCCATCCTATTGTCTCCAAACAGTTGTTTGAAATTGCAATTTTGTGCAACTTGATTTTACAGTGACAATTACAAATAAATATTTTGCTCCTTACTCATTTCAAATATCCTGTATCTGTGCTCGGGGCTCCCAAATGGTTAGCATCACCCCAATCATACCTTTTATTTTAAAAATGTCTATGTCACAGTTTCCCATTTGGGTGTTTTAATTGCAGCATTTGGAGTCTGAAATTTGTGTCCTCCTGTAGTGGAGGACTGTTCTGAGCTCTGCTGTTATCATTCAACTCTGCTCCATTTTTTAAAGCAATAGGTAGACACCACAGCCATGACCATTTATTACCTCACACATCGGAAACGCCTACAGTCACATGAACGTACAGAGTGTGGTTAAGCTACAAAGAATTAAGCAGTAACGGTACTTATGTACAGTTGTTTACCAGTCCACTGCTTAGGTTCAGGTTTGCTCTGATTATTGTAATGGTGGAGCACGGCATGTTTCATTTTAGTGGCAGGGCCTTTTGCTATTAAGCAAACTGATAACAAAACAGCAAAAGATGGTGCACATTGGGTAAATTAGAGTTTATTTAGTCTTTTTTTTTTATGTAACGCAGAGGATGATAACAGAAGGAACTGTTTTTCATCCGATCTTAGCAAAGGGTAAGCTGCTTCTGCTTGTGACTTCTGTTTGTTGACAGTCTAGACTTCCCAAAACAGTCATTCCATCTTGAGTTGAAGAATCTTTTTTTTTTTTTTTTTTATACTTATTTGCTAGCGTTTGGCAATTGTATGTTTTACTCTATTCTTAACATACTTATTTTCTTTAATTGTTATGTTGTCTAAAAATACTTGTTAAATACCCTGCACTAAGAGTGCTTTATAAATAAATTCACACTGCTTTACCTTTAACTGTATTTGGATCCCATTTGTAGTATACATGCTCTGAATAGTTGGAAACAATTTATATAAGAACATAGGGTGCAGATCCTTTTTCCTTTTCCCTTTTGTTCTAGATTAGGACAAAGTAGAGTCGTCTGGGATGGCAGACAGGAGCCGCCAATAGCCTCGAAACACAGGATGAGTCATTAGGAACATTCCGGATAGGATTTTCAACAGGCCCACTGCCTCCTTCTCCCTTGTTTTTAATTACACACTATCCTTTTCCCGTTTCAGGGCGTGAATTCCACAGGTAATTTAAAGCTGCTTGGACGCACGTCAACAAGCAGCTTACCTTGGAGCCTCAATGGTTTTAAAACATGTCCAAATTGCCAATACCCACCCCGAAACACTCACAAACAGAATCACTTTAGATAACATCTATTGTACTTAGTCAGGCCAAGTTATCACACAGCAGTAATTGAGATCCTATCTTCATAGGGTAGGATGCGTTCAACATGGCCCACTCTCATTTTACATTTGTGCTGAATCAGCCCTCTGCTCTTTTTCCTCTGTGATTAAAGCTTCTAACTCCTGTCAGCTACAGTAAAGGAAAACCAGTTTGGGCTCCAACTCTGACCATGAGGCACAATGATTATACTGCTGTTTCACAAGGGCTGGGATTGCCCTTCTGTTAAACTGCTTGTGAAATATAACCATGCCATTAGTTTCGTAGAGAAGTATTGATTCTTTTCTCTTTACACGGACCAAACGCTGTTGCATTGGATTTAGATATTACTTAATATACAAAAGATAATTTGTATTGAAAAGTAAAAAGAAATTGATTTAAAAGGGTTTTCATTTTATTTTTTACAAAAAAAAGAAAATAGTTTGCCCATTATGTTTGCTCAAGCCTAATCAGATTAGACTAAGAGGGTATAATCATATACCTAACACAGATATGTTTGATCTGTTTAGACTGATGAGCTAAGGTAGTGTACCATCAGCAATTGTTTTGTTGGAAAAGAAAAGTCTTACGGATTTGAAGATAAACTAAGTTTGACTTAATTATTTGCAAATTATAATCTAACATAAAGTAAGAGCTAAGGGACATATTCTTTATTGATATTTAGAATAATTTTACTTTTTGTGCTTTATCTAAAAAATAAAATCAATTCAACTAAATTCTCTGATATAACTGTTTTTGGAGTATATAATTTGTTTACTAATTAGACAACATCTTAATGTAACTGTGTACTCTTCTTTTATCAACTATCTTATTGACTAGGCTTCATGTTTACTTTGTGTTTATCCTGTACATAAAATATAATAAAATATATGTTGAAAACTGTGATTGTAATGTGACTAAATTAGAAAGGACTCAAATGTTTAACAAAGTTTGCAAGAATTGCATTTATTTATTTATTGTGTGGAAGATCACCTTTATGGTAGCAGACTCTTCCTGCTGAGGAGACTCAGGTCTTTTGGAGTGCAGGAGGCACTCCTAAAGACCTTCTATGACTGCTGTAGCATCAGCAATCTTCTATGGATTTGTCTATTGGAGCATTGCATGCCCTCTGGACTCAGTGCAGGAGGTGGGAAACAAAAAGACTAACTAAATGAACATCTCTGCTGGATAATATCCCCCATCCCATGCATCAATCTGTTGCAGAACTGAGAGCTCCTTTAGTGACAGACTGCTGCACCCTAAATGCACCAGGGAGCGTTATCACAGATCCTTCCTCCCAGCAGCTATAAGACTCTATAACCACCACTGTTCCCAACAACCTCAATAAGTTGTTAAATTCATGCTGATGTTGCACAGTTTTTATCTTAGTCGGTTAAATAACATGCTGCTGTCATTTTGCA